ATACCCAATAAGTTATTGAAATTAGCGGCAGACGTGATTGCGCCTTCCTTAACTGGAATATTTGCTACATCTATAAATACAGGAATATTTCCTCGTGACTTGAAGGCGAGCAGGGTGTCACCAATATTTAGGAGTGGTGCTAAAATTGACCCAAGTAACTATCGGCCTATATCCGTTATTCCAGTGGTTGCAAAAATGTTTGAAAAAATCATTTTTGATCAATTATATGAATATCTTAATCTGTTAAGTCCCTGTCAACCTGGATTCCGATCAATGCATTGCACTTTAACGGCACTAATTGAGGCTACAAATAGTTGGTCCGTTAATATTGACAATAGACCAGTAAATGAGTTGTTTTTATTGATTTAAAGAAAGCTTTCGATACGATTGATCACAACATTATGTTGCTAAAACTTGAAAATTATGGAGTTGAGCGAAATAGTCTAACTTGCATGGTTTAAATCGTATCTCACCGATAGAACTCAAAAATGTCTGGTCAATGGTCAATTGTCAAACTCCGCCCCAATAACCTGTGGCGTTCCTCAGGGAAGCAATTTGGGGCCACTACTTTTTCTTGTCTATATTAATGAGTTACCAAACTGGCTCAATCATACAACACCCAGAATGTTTGCAGATGATACGAGTGTCAGTTATGCCTCAAATTCTGTTGAAGAACTGGAAAATATCATGAACTCTGACCTCAAACTGAATCTCAATAGTTGGCTTACAACCAATAGATTAACCTTAAATATCGTAAAAACAGAGTTTATGATTATTGGTTCTCGCCAGAAAATAAGAGTTGTAGATGGGGAAATGAATATTAAGATAAATGATAATAAAATAAATAGGATTGATTTCGTCAAATCCTTAGGGCTACACATTGACGAACACCTTTCTTGGCCAGTACATATTCGCAAATTATGTAAAAAAATTGCTTCAGCTATAGGCGCTTTAAAACGCATTAGACCGTTTATTACCATGAACACTGCTATTCAAGTTTACCAATCCTTAATTCAGCCTCATTTTGACTACTGTTGCTCGGTCTGGGACGGTCTTGGTGAAACATTAAGCTGTAAAATACAGAAATTGCAGAACCGAGCGGTAAGGCTTATTACGAGGTCTAGCTACGATACCAGTGCAAGCACCCTATTAAATACTTTACACTTAGATCGCCTTTTCTTAAGACGCAAAAAGCTTAAGGCTGGCCTAATCTTTAAGACTCTCAAAGGGAATATAGCGTCATATCTACAAGACTTTTTTTCAGTTCGTGACACAGGGTACAATTTAAGAAATTCTGAGACAAGATTAAATTTGCCCAAGCCACGAACAAATTACTTAAAACGAAGCTTTTGTTATAGTGGTGCCTACTTGTGGAACAGTCTTCCTCAAGATATACGAAAGCTTCAAACATTTCCACAATTTAAGAAAGCTGTAGATAAGTATTATAATAATTCAAGTGAACTCCCACACGGCAATCTTGTAGTAAACCAGTAGTAGATAATTTTTAGATTTTTTTATAATTGATGTGTGTATGTAATTTATAACTGTCTTATTACGCTTATAATAGTTAGATTATCCATGTACTGAAGATTTTACCGTGTTTAAATAAATTTGTATTGATTGATTGATTGATTGATTGATTGATTGATTGATTGATTGATTGACTAGGATTTTACTTGAAAGACCATGCATACAGTATGTCTGTATCTCTTGGGAACAATCCATGTGCTGTTGTTTACCAAAGATTGCTATGATACCAGCAGTTTTATTCAGAATAGCCAAATTTGATCTGGGGAACAAAAACAAATCAATATGTGAGCCTGGCCCTGCCATATTTGTTACAAAGCTATTGTTTCTAAGAAGCTTACAGTGCATTTTTTTTTTTGAAATTATATTGGAATGCAGTTCAATGGAAGCAATATTAAAATATTGCTAATATATTTATTATGAATTTGTGCCATTGCAATACAATTATAGCACAAGTATGCAGACTACAAAAATTATAATAAAAATTGCCAGTGTGAGATCATTATTTAGCAATTAAGAGAAAGTTGCTTATGGAGGAAGATAGTTCCAAAATATAACTTGTAAGGCATATATGTCGTTCGATTCCAGCAAAGCATTTGACAGTGTGCCCCACGATCTTTTGTTTGAAAAAGTTAAAAAGCTACCCATTAATCTGTATGTGGTGAACTGGTTAATTAGCTTTCTAGAAAATAGAATACAAAGAGTAATGGTTGATGGAATGGTTACAGAATATTTATATATTAATCGTGGTGTCCCTCAAGGTACTGTTTTAGGCCCAGTTCTTTTCTCAATAATGGTTGATGATATTAAAACTGCTGATCCTAGTAATGCGTTAGTCAAATTTGCTGACCGGATTTGACGTTAGGAGTGCCTGGCAACGAAAGTGGTGACACATCTCGATCTGAAGCTGCCTGTTTACAGGATTGGGCGGAAGAGAATAGAATGCCCTTAAACTTGGAAAAAACGTCCGAAATGGTTGTTCGCAGACACACCTCTGTAGTTTTGCCCGAGCTTATCCCTTCAATTAAGCGAAAAACATGGCTAAAGCTTTTAGGAGTTACTCTACAAGATAATCCGTGCAAATGGGATTTGCACTTCGAAGAAATGCTCAAAAAAGCAAGTGGACAAATGTACATTATGAGAGTTTGCAAATACTATGGACTATCAATTAAACAATTAGATCTGCTGTTTGATAGCCTAATTATGTCGATATTCACTTTTGCTATTGAGCTGTGGGGTTGTGCATATGACGGTAAATATTTGAACCAAATAGATAAATTCATTAAACGTGCACATAAGAATGGTTATATATCAAAACGAACACACATTAAAGAAATACGTGATAAGAGAGATAAGAAACTGTGGAAAAAAATAACATCAACTGAGGACAATGCATTGCTTGAACTGCTGCCGGAAAAAAGAAGTAGGTTACTTAGGCCTAGATGGCATGAGTATGAACTCCCCCTAGTGAGAACAGAAAAATTCAAAAGGTCGTTCATAAATCGTTGTCTGTATAACTTTGTTTAGACTTTAATGTATTAAAAACTTTTTAAAACTTTTTACGCTTCTTAACTTACATTGTAAATATAACTAGATCAATTACCTTTCGATTGTAAACTCAGACGGATGTATCTGAGTATTTTAATAAAGACTATTATTATTATTATTATTATTATTATTATTATTATTATTATTATTATTATTATATTGACTCAAAGCCACTACACCCCAAAAATAAACTGCTCCTCTACAGTCGCTACGTCTTGTCCAAGTTAGCCTGGCGCTTCACTGTCGCAACACTCTCTAAAACATGGGTTACTGAAAATATCGACTCTATTGCCAACAAATATATCCGCAGATGGCTTGAAGTACCAATATCAGGAACACTAAGTACTGTCTTTCTAACAAATAACAAATTTGGCCTGAGTATTTATCCTCCATCTGTAAAATTTATCCAGTGTCAAACAGTCCTCCGAAAAGCTTTAAAATCTTCTCCTAATGAATCAACTAACGACCTGTGGAGAGCAACCAGTTACCATACTAATATCCAATATGACGCTTATAACTCTACTAAGGAAGTTCTCAAAGATTTCCGTTCTGGACACGAAAACAAACTCCTAAACCAATTAACCAGTCAAGGATCCTTTTTCTGCAGCGTCACGAAGTTCGCTTTACCTCAGCTTAGCAAGGCCTTTGTGGTCCGTCGCCCAATCAAAGCTCCCGAAAAACATTTACAACTTTACCATTCGTTACATTAACAACTCTCTTCCGACGCGCAAAAACCTAAACAGATGGGCAATATCTTCAAATTCAGACTGTTCTTTTTGTCTTAGCCCTGAAACATTACTACACATAGTAGCTGGATGTCAGTTTTATCTCGACCGATTTACGTGGAGACACAATTCAGTCCTGAACTTTCTTGCTCATCAGTTACAAACTGTTGACGGTTCTACTCTCTACGCTGATCTAAATGGATTCAAAAGCCCTTCAATACTTACTGGTGATACGTATCGCCCAGATTTGTTATTATCGTGCTCAAATGGTTCCTTATATGTGGCAACCTCGTTCCCAGGGTCTTTAGGAAAGACCCTGGTATCGGCTGGTCACGTGCCCCGTCCAAAATTGATTGCCCGAGGGGGGTGTGGTGAAAGTATCAAATTACAAACAGTTAAAAATATAAATTTTGTGAACTGTTACCAGTAAGTTCAAAATACATGCTAATTTTTGTTTATTTTATTTGCATTGAATTTACAAGAACATTCTTACATTTTTACCAACAGTCAAGTCAAGAAACCAAGCAAATCGTTACTCGCAGTGCTCTCTCGTGTTGTTTTATTCAATGCTCTCTTCACACTCAAGCGTGGTTTTATAACAAACATTTATGGGCCTTTCAGTGGTCACCATTTCTACATATCTAATGTTTTTAAAACAAGCATTAGATTTGTCCTTTTTTGTAAACGTTGCTATGCTTTGCACGTCTTGTTTATAAGATTTTTAAAAGAAACAGTATTGTATTGTATTGTATTGTATTGTATTGTATTGTATTGTATTGTCTAGGACTAGAGAGTAGAGCCCAATATCAGCAAATGTAAACATTTGATACTAGCCAAACAGAGAAATGTCTGTCAGTGATTTATCTTTAAAATTTTGGATTTAGTACATAATTCGTATTCATTAATTATAGTAAGGCTTTAGCCTTTTTCTTGGTCAGATAATGTTTTTCTAATATGCACACAACTAGGCTATAATCTACATCACAAATTTACAGTGTCAGACGCGCACAGATTGCCATACGATTAATAGCTATTAATATACATAAATTTTCGAGTTTTCTACTTCCACTAAGGCTACTAACAGTTTTCATTGTGTCTCAATCATCTGTTTATTTCTAGTTCAATAAGTTCATTTCTATTTCTATTTGATAGTGGCATATATCGTGATACATGTAGGCTATTTACACACAAGCAATCCTGGATATGATAGAGACGATACAAGCTGTCCATTAAAAAATAACGGTATTCTATTTCACAAAGCAAAACATTTAAATCTCACTTGTATTATTAAGAATATATATAAAGCAGAAAATTAAAGCTTGTGTCAAAACGAAAGCTGTTTATAAAATTTATAAATGTGGTATAAACACAGTAGTAAACAGTAAGACAAATATATTGTCGTTTGACTTATCTTTGATGTATGACTTTACTGTAATACCGTAGATTTTCAACAGACAGCTAGATTTTGACATATATACCATGATCGTTGAGATCTTGCAGGAAATTTTATAGTCTTTTGACGGGATTTAAGTTTTGTGATAAGGCCTTTTATATAATCAACAATCTCGATACAGTTGGCGTCTTGGCGATATTTCGAAAATCAAAAGATCTCGCTATTTCGTTCCAATTCCACGTCTCATCAATAAATATATTCTTTTGGTCCGAGTATCAGGATATACTTTAATACTAACAGTTAAATAAATATAAACCACATTGGTCGGTCTAGAGATATATATCTTCTTGTAGGCTTATTGCCACGCCCAGGCGTGCTTTCTTTGTCAAGTCTATAAATTGAAATCTGATCCAACTTGCTTGAATCGTAACTCGACACTAGATTATAGAGCAGAAAGTCACATCACGATAAATATTAATTTTTAATTGCAGTTCTCTTCACGATTTCTTGTTGCAAATTTAAATTTCATCACACAAAATTGCAAATATTGTTACAAACGCGACAAACACGCTCCTCTCCCACCCTGCCCATAGTATCATTTTAATTTATCACCCAGAATCTGGGTGACACGTGACCAGCCGAAACCAGGGTCTTTCCTTCGCCTCGCGCCGTTCTAAGAAAGACCCTGGGAACGAGGTTGGGCCAAGCGGTGAGTAAATATATGATTGTTTCGGTTTGTGTAATGTTCTGATGGCACTTGACCCCCCCTTCGAAAGGTTATTTTGTGAGGATTACAATGGTGGCTTTTATTTAAAAGGGGGGGGGGGGTAAATACTCGCCGAGATATTTATTTTTGAAAAATTGTGTCGTAATATGATGCGAAAGGGGGTGGACGAGAAAGAGTTTCTTTAACCGATAATAGGCCCTTTCAAGGTTTATTCCGCCATATTGCCGGGGGTGCAAAACATTGGGGCGAGCGCGCGGCCAAGCCATGGCTGCCATATATTTTACTAATGAGTGAGCCATATATTTTACTAATGAGTGAGCGATAATTTTGTGTGGACATTTTGTTGATTTTCTCATGCTATATTAAAAGATAGTCCAAACTTTTGTATTCTGGCTGATCTGTGTGTATTTTCAAAGTACTGGTAAAGGTTTCAATGGAATCTGATTGGGGGAAATCCGTAAATATGCTGATTTCTTCGACACCTTTCGGCGATCTGTTTACAGTGGATTCACGACAACGAAACGCCGAAAACAGGGCTTTTATGTCTGTGTTTGTTTAAACAAACAGGCCGGTTTCGCATTACATTTCGATTCAATTTTTCTAATATAAATATCTCGGCGAGTATTTACCCCCCTTTTAAATAAATGACACCATTGAAATCCTCATAAAATAACCTTTCGAACGGGGGGTCAAGTGCCGTCAAAACATTACACAAAGCGAAACAATCATATATTTACTCACCGCTTGGCCAAAGATTCTAAATTTCATATCCACAAGATCTTGAATACCCCTTGAACTTTTCGTCATTTGCTAAACGGCTATACGTGTAAAATACTCTCTGTATTCAAGCGCTTTCGTGTAGAAAGTTTCGTATGTATACGCCGACTAGAAATATTTATTTTGAATTTTTCAAGATATCGGGTTTTACTCGCACTTGCGTACATTGCGCAATAATTGGCCAATAAGAAGCTCCTTTGGCCGGGATGACGTCAAACTCACGCGTGTAGGTGCAATTTGACCTTGCGAATCCATTTCTGGCCTTTCCAGGGTCATACGATACAAACGCCGCATTGTTTTGACGGGTTTCAGTCGTATTTCCGGTTGGGATTAATTCACTTCGAGCTCACAGTCGGACAAGAAATGGAAATATATTGATAAAAGATACAGATTTGTAGATTCAGGGTTGCAAATAACAGATCGGAAGAGACACTATTTAATGGGGATTCGAACAAGACTATTACAAAGACGATATGTTCGATGGGGCCGAAGTTATTTTCGGCAAAAGGTATGGCTAGTCTATAATAATCTGTATTTTTGTTCAGACAATTGCGTAATTTGATACAATATGATCGTTTTGACTTTCAAAGGCCCATAAATCGTTACAATACTAATAATGACTATAACTATCGTTTGGAACTAGTTGATATTTTATTTCTGAATCAAATGGTGGTATTTCTGTCTTCATAGCATGCACTGAACCGAAAGTATGAAATTTCGAGCCGTCGATCGCTCGCGATCGACGCGAATTGGGCCTGTCAGGAAAGAGTTAAACAAAACAACATTACAGAAGAATCATGTTTAAAAACAATACAACAAAGCTGTCGGGAAAGAAGAAAGACGTCCAGGTGCGAGAGTGTAACCTGACACCAATGTCAATCTCACCTTTAATTATATGACATACTATTAGTAATTAGATATAAGAGATAAACTTCTAAAAGTAGGCGAATCCAAAGGGTATATAATATTGAGAGATATTGAGTGTCAGTTGTTCTCATTGTCAGAACCACTCCCATAGCCAACTGCATGAGAACAAAACACAAGCAGAAGGAACAGTATCTACAATGCTGTTCAATAATCTTAAAAACCTGCCTGAAAAACCTGCCTGAAATTTTTGTGACTATCAATCAAATTCATCAAAGTAGCACAAGAAACTGATCAAGACTTCACAAGTGGTATAAAAGAACAAATTATGTAAAACATATTCTCTCTAAATAATGGAGTTGATGTATGGAACTCACTAGAATAAAAAATACAGACATACAATACATCTTCAAAAAACAAAATAAGCAGCATTTTTTGATGAAAACATTCTATTTGCATATTATTCCATTTGCGTATTATTGTTCCTCTATTACTCTGAAAATTCTCTCTCTGATTTGACTGTAAAATAAAATAATATATTATAAATCTAACAGTTAACTATAAACCTTTACTAGGGGCCTAAAGCAAAAAGTCTGCCAAGATATCTACTATCTAATAGGTCTTTAGCCCAAATTAATGTAAGGGAAAATATGTAAAGATTGCCTATGGAACTGTACATGAAGGAAAAAAATTAAAACTAAATAAATACATGGTAAAGAAACTCTTTCATTGGTAATATTTCTGTCCTCAGGTTTTCTGGGGTCAAATTCTTTCCTCAATGTTTAATCGCAGCCAGGAGTTCGGTCTAAATATTAAATTTTTAACCTGGCTTGGATTTACTTCTTTTCATGTTCCTTTGTTCCATCCTTGGGGAACACTGGTACAGGCACACATGCAGGCGAAATATATTGGTTGTTGTAAGCATAGTTGATCTTATATATAGAGGACTGCAGGTACATGATTACATGACTCAACTGTTCCAGCTGTTGAAGAATGTGAGTCATCACAAATCCTTTGTGATGGACATACTGAGCTGTACAAAAAATGTCATGGTCTTGTCAATGGGGCATTTGGCAACATAAATTATATCAACAAATCCACTCATCCAATATGACTCTTATCTTTGTATT